TGTGGCGCCCCCTATACCCTATAGGTGCGGGTTTACGGCAGGAATGTGGCGCCCCCTATATCCTATAGGTGCGGGTTTATGGCAGGAATGTGGTGCCCCCTATAACCTATAGGTGCAAAGTCTCAGGCGGAGGGATTTATAGCTAAGCATGGGCAAATGGTCTGGCTCTTACTGCCCTTAATTGGTCCTGTCTCCTTATCTCCTACATGTTTGTGAAGTTTTAATAGGGCAGGGGAAGGAGCAAGGGATGGGGTAATTTAGGCAAGGCTAAAAGGGAAGGTGGCCTGGCCCAGATGTCTTCTATGTAAATACTTCAGGCAGGGGTCAGACTAAATTGAATTCTGCCTCAGTCTCTCCTTTTGAGGTGAATAGGAAATTATACTGGACACCTTGCCTCACACCACAAAGGCTCTGAGAGCTTCTGACCTCTCCTCTGAGGTCTGGATAGTGCTTCTTACACAGGCTCAACTCCACCCTGAGATCCTCTCAAACTCTAAAGTAGCTTTTGATATTGGATCAAACCCAGGATCTTCAGATTGAGCTGCATCCCTGTCCCTTATGTATATATTTTAAGACACAGTTTTGCTAAGTTGCCCAGTTTGGCCTTGAACTTGGCAATCCTCCCTCAGTTTCCCAGAGTAGTGGTGATGTGCCATTCAGGACCAGGCCAAATGGAAGACAACAGCACCAGAGGACCTTTGGAAGGCAGTTTATTATGCTAGCAGGCTGAGGAACCCAGAGGTTCAAATCACCTGGACTGGAGGTTATTGATCACTTATGGAGGTTTTCAGGAGGAAGTAGAAAAAGGCAGACAACGTAACATTCCGTAGTTGGCTACACATGCCTTTGTCATCAGTTGCTAGGCAGGATTCACTCTTACAGAAACTACTAAGGTTACCATCATATAGCATGGAGGAAGAATGAATCTTGTCTATCAACTCTGGGATTTGAAAGTAGGCAACATGCCACTAAGTTGCACTTTTCTTGCAGCTGGGTCTGGGAGTGTCAGGGTTTAAGTTTTGTAGCTCATTGTAAAAACCAACTGAGCATCCCAGTCTCATCCTTGAAGTGTTAGAAATATAGGATTAAAATATTCATTACATTTAAAATAGCCTCCACACTGGGACTGCTAGCGTGCACCACTATCCCAGGTTCAAGCTTTATAGATTTAAAACTAGTCTGTACTTTGCTCTTAGGTAACTTGTAGAGCTTTTCCAACTGCATCCCGAGGGCTGGGGCGAGCTCGGTTGTGGGAGTGCTTGCCTGTCTAACGTGCGCCAGGCTCCGGGTTCTTCCCAACCCCTCTGTTTCTGGGCACAGAAATCAACTCAGTGGTGTCAGCTTTTTATTGCTGTGGGGGGGAAGGTACCTGACGAGAACTGAAAGGAAGAACAGGTTGCTTGGGCTCATGGCTTCGGCGGGCTCCGGTCAGAGTTGCCCGGCTCCGTGGTAGAAACACGGCGGCGGCGGGAGGGCGCTCACGTCTGGGGCAGCCAAGGCGCTCCAGGCCACCCTCCTCCTGCTTCTCCCGGCCACACCCTACTGCGGGGGCTACCTGCATCCCTGGCCGGCCTCCCCGCCACCTGCCAGCCCCCAGGGAATGCGCTCACAGCCCCCAAAGCGTACTACACTGACTTCCTAGCCGCTTCCCATCCAACCAAGTTGATAGTCAAGACTAGCCATCACGTGCTCACAGCACATATCAAAAAATAAACTAAAACTATCACATAGTTGTGTGTACATGTACTACACTGTCACAACAGCAAATACATTTATTACTATGGGTTGCAATAAAAACATTTAAAGCTACTGAATTAGAGATGAGTTTATTGGCAAATAGATAAAATCAGTCTATTCCAATATACCCCAAATCTTTTCTTGTATATGTTAAATTAAAATTTAAAACCCAAAGCAATATAGCCAGCTAGAACTCCAATTTACAGTGAGCTAAGTGCCAAAAGTTTATTTGACTATCAGATTCTTGGAGTTTCACCTCATAGAAACTGTGATGAAGGGCGCGCTCCGCGGTGCAGCACGGACTGGGGCTACCGCAGACTTCACTTTCTGGGCGGCGCTCATCTGCACCGGCTGCCCTCTCCGCTTCCAAGGAAAGCTCAGCTGCAGCCCCCCAGAGTCCACTGCGTGGGCCCAGAGTGCTCAGAACTCTGGAGGGAAGAGCTCGGCGGTCCCAACAGCCTTTGGCAACTGAGGCAGAAAACGGGGCTCCCAAGAACATCTTCTAGATGCTCCTTGTTTTTCTTCCACCCCAACCCCTGCTTTTGCACAATGTCAAGCATGAGAAAGATGTTCACTAACAGGCTATTGAAAAAAGAAAAAAGAAAAAAAAAAAAACCAAAAAAACAACACACCACAACCTGTCAATTGTTAAGAACAGAGACTACCTACTAAGAGTAATGGTTTATAGAACTTTTCTTTGGGTTCCCAAATTACTGCAATTTAAAAAAATGACTAGATTTAACATTGCAAATTTGTTACTGATACAATCAAAAGATTTAAAAAAAAAACACCAGACCACTTTTCTCATAAATTGTTGATATATAAAAATTCTCTATTACCACCAGGTATAGTGGTGCATGTCTATAATCCCAACACTCAGGAGACTGAGGCAGGAGGATTGCTGAGGCCAACATGGGCTACATAGTGAGTTCACAATTACCTGGACAAGACTCTCCTCCAGGAAAAAAAGAACCTAACACCAGCATGTTTCAGTGCACCAAGGAAGAAGCCAGTGCCTGGAGGACAACGGCTCATGGTGCCTCACCTTGGGGTCAGAAGCTGAGGGTCAAGCACACGCCACTCCAGCTTAATGCCCCACTGGTAGGGATTTCTTGTGTTCTGGAAGACTGGGAAGAGCTCTGACAACCCCGAGGCCATGCCTAAGAAGCCTTCATGACCTGCCCCCTCAATGGATGGTGGCTACGGAGGGAGCCTCAGCCAGAGTCCTAGTGTGACCCTCGGCAGTTGGCTCAAGCACACATGCCCAGGGGATGCGGCTCCGACTCAGCACAGGGACCCACAAAAACCTCTGTGCCTTTTGGCTGGGCAGCTTGCTCCATCAGCCACAGGCCCAGCTCTGCATCCCAGGGACAGGGCGAGGGCTGCAGGAAGGGACCTCTGGCCGCTCACGCCAGGAGACGTTCTGGGGCCATGGAGTAGGACAGGCTAGGGTACCATACTTGCCTAGACAGTCGGCTCAGTGGCTCTGTCAGCGGGAGCCTGGCCCGGGACCACAAGCCCCAGCCGCACCTGGCCTCTCACTTGATGCACGGCCGGGGGCGGACAGCAGGGCACGGGCAGCACCGTTAGGGCTGTCTGGGGCTGCCACTCACCTTCATCACACCAGAAAAGCAACACCAGGCACTATACCTTGCAGAGTCCTGACCAACTCTAAACTTTCTGAAATTAAAAATACATAACCACATCTGTAAGGTTTTTAATGAACAAAAAGTTAAATACAAACTTTCATATGCAAAATAGACTGCTGTATAACCAGCGACCTTGGAGCCAAGTACTAAACCTTCTTCCACAGATGGCGGTGGGAGGGCACAGGGGAGGGGGGGTGTTAATCATGAGTACAAAACTTAATTTTAGCTTCATATATAGAAAAAAAATCTCTGAGGAAAAATAGCTTTAAATTGAATAGCATCTTTTGAAATAAACAGCTCAGGCCAGCCCTTACAATTCTGAGGTTTATGCTCAACCGGATCTGGGACAAAGTGAAGACTAGGGTTTACAGTTACTTTGAATCCAGTTTCAAGAGTAAGCCGTGTCACCTCTGCTCCAGAAGGGGAGTGGCTCTGAGGTGGCACGACGCACTTGAGGTCACCACACGGCTGGCCCAAGGTCCTTGGCGACGCTCGCGCTGCGCAGTGCGTGGTGCCGGGCTTGCTCGGACCCAGATCCCAAGCACAGCACTTCTGCTTCTCCTGCGCTTCCACGGAAGCCTCAGACAGGAGACCTCTCACTTCGGGTTGGCAGTGACTGCTCCAGCGCTTGGGAAGGCTCTGAACGCTCCGTCCTCCCCCGCCACTGTCCCTCCTGAGTGCCAGCAGGCAGTGGCAGTTTGATTAATGTTCCTCTCGGAAATAAATACTTCAAGCACATCATGTAGAGTTAACTGTCAGAGGCAGTGGACAACGGCCACCACCCCACATCTACAAACCAGTGAGTGAATGAACACACGTGAACAAACACATGGAAAAACAATTCATAGAGTAAATCCTACATTTCCCACATTCACAGGGAAATAATTCTTTAAAATAAGAAAACATTAATTAGCGTTTGTTCTTGTGTGGGCTGAACAGTCCAGGGCTCCAAGCAGGCACAGCCTTATAGTCAGGGTCGAAAGCAGCCCCTCTGTACCCCGAGACAGGGCTCCATGCACGGCAGCTCAGTACCTGTGGGAGAACAGAAAAGGGACGCAGGGACTGGGTAACCCACAATGCATGAGGTATGTGGAGACGGCTGGGAAGGAACAGCCAGAGGCCGGAGGGAGGGGGCAGCATTCTCAAAGCAGCTGCTGATGCAGGATTTCCCACACCATCTTCTTCCGGAACAGAGGCATCTGGTGCTGCAAAGAACAACACACAGGTCACTGCTGTGGCCGTGTCACAACCTCTGCACGTCACTGTGTAAATAAAGTGCAGTGCCCAGGGCTTTTAGGGCAGCTCTGACATCACTGCTTATAAAGCACAGGTTTCTGTTTTCTTTTTTTTGTGGAACCAGGGATTGAACTCAGGCCCTTTTGCTTGCCAGGGAAGCGCTTATTCTACTGAGCCATCTCCCCGGCCCCAAAGCACAGGTTTCTAATTGTACTGCATGTACCCTAGTGCTGTACTTGCTAAGGAAAATCAAAGCAGGACTATATGTAGTGACATCACAGCTTAATAGCTGAAGCATTAGCAAAAGTGGAAATGTCCAAGTGGTGGCACCATCAGGCAAACTCTCTACTTACAAGGACTTAAAAAAAGGGGGGAGGGCCTAGGGTGATGGCTCAGTGGAATAAGAGCTTCCCTGGCAAGTGCAAGGGCCTGAGTGCAATCCCTGGTTCTGCAAAAAAACAACAACAAAAAACCTAAAATGAGTATAATCTGCTTTCATATGTAAAAAAAGGGCCTTTAAGGAAAATATCAAATTTCTTTCTGCTCTACCACATGTTGTACATGGTCAATTCTGTTCAAAAACAGCTTCTCTTGAAGTCTCCTGTCCTTGGGTTCAGAGAACAGTCGGCACCTTGCTATTTAGCAACATCAAAGAATAAAATGCTTTGCTCAAGATGCTACTGCTGTAACCGCCAGTCACTGCATGGGCCAATTCTCAAAGCAGCAAGACACCACAGGACGACCAGCTTACCTGCAAGCTGACTGCCCACTGCCCTCTAAGGAAGCCGGGAGCTCACGCCCTGCGCCACGCATTCTGTGCCATTATGAACACTGGGATAATGCACTGTACTGTAGCCTGCCAGGGAGCTCTTGGGGCGTGTGTGTGTGTGTGTGTGTGTGTGTGTGTGTGTGTATGTGTGTGTGTGTGTAAGTCTTAACGTGATTTAAAAATTACTGTAAATAGTTCAAAGCATCTAGTAAAAATGCACATTTATTCTCACTGAAACTGCTGAGACAAATCAGTAACAAGCGCTTTTATTTTCAACTAGAAGTGTATGAATTCACTGTAGGCTCCTCGTGCCTGATGCTGCCCGGAGCTTGGAATGGGGTTATCAGCTGGCTACTCTAGAAGTACGTTTGCAAACAGCAGCTATGAAACTGAGGGCTGCTGACGAGACGCACTTTTCGTGTGCGCTGCTGCGCTTGTACAGAGGTTCCGAGTCCACTGTTAAAAACAACTTCTCAAGTGCTCCCACATGCCTGGGTTTCCACTTCAACACAGAACCATGGAGAACCCAAACTAAGCAGAATGAGAGGAAGGTTCGTGGTCCTGTATAAAGACCCAGGTTCCCAAAAGGCCTGCTTTTCCTCGCTGTCACACACTCTCACACGGACCACGGGGTTGGGATGCGCCATAGCCTGCCACCCCCAGGGCCCCCCAAGAGCAGAAGCCTTCTGAGGGCAGAGGTCAATACGAGTGGGGCTCTGCCGAGGCTCGCGCAGGGTCCACGGGAGCTGCAAGCAGCTACTGCACAGGGCCCTCCCGGGTGCCAGGCACTGCAACAAGTCCCCTTGGCCAGAAGCAAGTGGATGAGGAGGGCCTTCACTCACCTGTGTAAATGTGATAGGCTTGTCCCTAGAAATATAATCTGCATATTTACAAGTAAACATTCCACAATCACTCCCATTCAGCTGTTGAGGAATCTCCTAAAATTATAAAAACAGAAAGGAAGACGTAAAATATCATATAAATTCCTTACACTTTTTCTAAATATTGCTGTGGAAAAATTGCAATCTGGTAAATGCTCAATGTAGTACTGCACAAACGCACGCATACAAACGTAATTAGCTTGCTCCACGTGGGACAAAACACTACACAGGACGTGGAGTAGGGAGCCCCACAGAAAATCATCCTCAGATGAAAAGAAAAAGTGAAGAGGATTCCGCGCTCCACTCTCGAAGAAACCAGCTGAGGGTGTGATGTGGCTCACGCTTAGCCTGTGCGAGGCCCTGTGCTCCGTCCCCAGTGCTGCACAACACCCAGGAAACAAAACTGGAATCAGAAGGTGTACTAACAGGAATGTGAGCCACAAGGACTTCCACTGTTACAAACTTCAAGAAGCTTAAGTAAGGGTCACTCTAAACCACAGTGAACCTACTGCCTCACTGCAGGGATCGCCTCTCTATGCCACACAGGATTGACAGGCCTCGGCTTCAGCCTCCTACAGTCACAAGAGACAGAAACAGAAGATGCAGACCAGCTTCATCCGGGAGAATCTTGCCTCGAGCAGGGCCACCTGGAGGCTGAGCGTCCAAGCCTTCAGGGAGGCCCATAACCTGGGCTGGCCGCCCATCACACACGGGGAAGTCCCATCTAAGGTGCGTGAGAGGTAGAGGGAGGGACTGACTCCGCTGTGGGGACACATACTGATAGCTCAATGCGGACTCCTAGAAACAGCTGAGTATTAAAAGATAGAACACACACACTAGGGGCCTTATATTTTTCTCCAGAGTCTAGCATCACTCAGAGAGAGAACTACAGATCCCCATCTACAAAAACAGATTTTTTAAAATCATAATTCCTGTACCAGAACAGGTGTTCATCCTTACAGATTTTCTCTGGGGGCAGTGTGCATTTGAGACACTGTCTCCCTGTGTAGCTCTGCTGGCCCTGAACTCACAGTGATCATTCTGCTTCAGCCCCCCAAGCGCTGGGATTTAGGCAGGCACTAGCACACCTATCTGGCTAACAGACTCTTGTATTTGTCTTTTCTTTAGGAAATGTCAAGCCTTGATTTTCAAGTGATTCAATGTGGAAGTCAAAATGTTTTGAGTGAAGAAACCTGAGCCCCTACGGAGGTCAGGACTACGCTGAATTCATGTGGCTCACTTCACAGGGAAGCAGTGCGACTCAAGGCTGGGCCACTTTCCAATTATGAACTGAGACTCAGACCTCATGAGCTACAAAGCATAGTCACAAGCAGCTTGCCTGACTCTTGCTGATTATGCCATGGGACCCTATGACCTAAACAAATAAATTCCCAGATAAATTTCAGACAAGAACTTACAACAACCAGGAAGAGAAGTTGACGTACACGTTTTGTTTCCCAATTCCCTGAGAGATACGAGGTGAGGTACACACGACCCTGGCCATCCTGCGTCACGACCACCAAAACTGCCCAGAGCAACCCCAGTCAATGCCCCCTCCCCATTTCCCAGCATGCTATAAATAAGCAAAACCATCCAAGTGGTCTGTGGTGACTTGTGACCAGATCCAGGCACAGCGAGTGCAGAATGTGCCTGAAATCTTCCTTTGTTATTAGCTTGAGATGCACCAGGCCAGTCCTGGCCGGGGTGATAAGGCCTGGGTCCTGGCTGCTTCCAGGCAGTACATACCCAGAGAGGGTATGTACTGGACACGTGCGAGGCCCCAAGTTCAATGCCCAGCAAAAAAAAAAGCACAAATGATGTCGACTTTCAACCTGTTCATCCACAGGGCATAAATGAGGGGAGGGAAGAAGTTAGGGCTGAACAACATGATACAACAAAGTTTGGCAAATACACATGGTTGTCACTCACGTGTGGCTTCATGCTGTAGCGGGTCCACTCTAAAAGATTCAGATCAATATTTCTTTTGGTCTTGCTTTCATCTTGTAAATACTGACTAAAGAAAACAGCAACAGAGGTTACATCAATGACACCAAGCTTTATGACTACAAAAGACTTGTGATATTTAATAGACACACCATCCTATAAACTATACCATCAGGCTTTCAACACTGTGACTGCTGTTTGGATTTTTAATTCTGGGTTCCTTTTTCTACTAACTGACACTATATGTTCATCTTTTTTTTCCAATTTATTTTTGTATTTTAGGACAGGGTCTATAGGGTCTCACTACGTAGATTGGACTCGTAGTGATCTGCCTGTGTTCAGCCTTCCAAGCACTGGGATTACAGGCTTGCGCCACCATGCTCAGTCTCAATCGAGGTCTCAGTGTGCCCCAGGGGCAGGCCAGGGATTGAACCCCAGCTGCTACGCTCTGCCTAAGCAGGCGCTTTAGTCCACTGAGGTATTTGGCCAGCCCTTACTCATCTCTAAATAATTAAAACATATATAATGAGGTAAAAGACAAAAATCCCTCTCTCATATTAAAAAAAAAAAACAAACAACACCCCTCTTCCTAAGTCAGGGAGGGCAGCACAGGCCTGTAGCTCTGGTGACTTTGGAGGCAGAGGCACAACAGCAAGTTTGAGGCCAGCCTGGACAATTCTGCGAAACCCTGTTTAAAAATAAAAAGGCCTGGGATTTGGCCTTGTGGTAGTGTCCCTGGGCTAAATCCCCAAACCACATGGAAAAACAAAACAAAACAAACAGAAACCCACAGGAAATGCCCCCACCATGGCCGCTGGCGCAGCACCACAGCCAGCCTGCTAAGGTTTTCTTCCAGCTCTACCACCATACGCACAATGTCAGAATGTACATTTCATGCAGTTCAAATGGAAGGTTTTTTTTTAAAACTTTTTTTTACTTCAAAACAGGTATGAAACAAGATACGTGACCTGGACTTTTATTTTGGTACCATAAGTTGAGCTCCGGACCTTGCACTTGCCAGGCAGGCATTGTGCCACTGACCTATATCCTCTGGCCCAGGGCCTGGACTCTTTATAATTTATTTATTTATTTATGTGTGTGTGTGTGTGTGTGTGTGTGTGTGTGTGTGTGTGGCCAGCTCAGCCCACCAGGGGGCGGGGCTGGCTGGCATGTGGTGCTGGGGGATTGAACCGTGGTCCCTGTGCTTTGCTAAGCTTGTTCTAAGTAGGTGCTTTAGACCACTAAGCCATCTCACCAGCCCGCCTGGACTCTTTAAAAACAGGTATTGCCATGAAAAAAGAAAGTAAGAAGACTATTCTAAAATAAAGGACAAACAGCAGGTAAATATTAAATCTTTTTTTTTTTTTTTTCCTGCACTCAGCTATCCTTTACATTACTAGCCTTTCATATTTTTAATTTTGAGACAGGGTCTCCCTAATTTGCTAAGCTACCCAGGCTGGACTCAAACTCTTGCAATGCTCATGTCTTGGCCTCCCTGAGTTCTGGGATCACAGGTATGTGGCACGACGCCTGGCCAAGACATTTCTGAACACTCATCTATTCCTGGGCTTGGGGAAAAAAGTTCTAGAAGATAACATAAAAAACCAGAATATGGACTATATATTACATGTTACAGATGGTTAATTTTCTTAAGTATATCACTGTAGTTATGTAGAATTTTATTTTAGGAGATAAATACTTAAGTACTAAGTGCTTACTTTTTTTCTAAGTGATTAGTTTTATGCACATCTCTAGGCTATCACCTCAGTTCTCAAGCTGTGTACAAGATAAGCCTGCATCAGGCTATGTTACGATCTAAGATGTCCCCCCAAGCCTTCCTGCGTGCGGACGGGGAGTGACGAGATCACGGGTGTTAACCTCATCCGTGAACCCACTGACTGACTGCGCAGCCAGGAGGCGGCCGGCTGGGGCAGGTCTCTGGGGAGCAAGCTGCCAGGCCATACCCTCCAGGCCAGCCCCTCCTCCTTTCCCTGCCTCCCCGTTTCCTGGCTACCACAAGGAGAGCCGCTTCCTCGGCCAGGAGGCGTACCTGTGCCTTAGGGCCGCCACCATGGCCTGAGACCTCTGAAACTGAGCTCAAGTACACATCTCCTCCCCAGCTGCGCATGCTAGGACAGGCAACAGTGACGGGGGCCGACAGCACACCCCAGGACGTGTGCGCTCTGTGGGGCAACCGCGCGGCCAATGAGTGAGACGCGGTACTCCATTGGGCTGTGGTCTTCTAGAAGCCACCCCAGCTAAGTCTTATTCCTTCATAGAATTTCTGCTCATTGTGGAGAAACAGGATTAAAATTTTCTCTCAGGGAAAGTAATAACTAAAAAAGTTTGAGAAAAACTGGACTAGAGGTATCAAGAAAAGAAAGCAGACTCAGATACCCATAGTAACTGACCTTTCAAAAGAAAGGAAAAAGTATGAATGGAATATAAGTATATTCTTAAAAATCCTGTTGTAAGAAGTATGTAAAACTGCCGTACGATTTCAGGAAACAGTTTCTACGCATGCAATAATATGTAGATACTATATGCACACACACACACACCTACATGTTTTATATCTTACACACGGAAGACTAGGAGGATTATAATCAATTTGATCTATTTCTTTTGTTGTTGTTGTTGGGTTTTTTTTCAGAACCGGTGTTTGAACTTAGGCCCTTGTGCTTGCCACGGAAGCACTTATTCCATTGAGCCATCTCCTCAGCCCTATTGTTTTTTGTTTGCTTTTTTTTTTTGAGACAGGGTTTCACTACATAGTTCAGAGTACCCTGGACTCACTATGTAACCCAGCCTGACCTTGAACTCAAGGTAATCTTCCTGCCTCAGCCTCTAGCCTGCTGCAATTACAGGGGCACACCAACCTGGCAGAAGTCCCTTCTATTCTGAAGTTTTGCTTTCTGTAGTTTCAGATACCTGCAGTCTAAAAACATTAAATGAAAAATTACGGAAATTCGTAAGCTTTAAATTGCATACTGCTCCTAAGGACACGACGAGGGCTCGTACCATCAGCGGCCCCCCCAGGACGTGAAGCATCTCCTCACCCCCACACACGCTCTCCCCACCTGCGCAACACAGACACTGTCTGGAGTCACACTTACTTTACCTACTGGGCCCAGAGACAAGCGTAGTGATGCAAAGGCCCCAGGGCGTAAAATACAGCAGAAGAGAGCTGGCCCTAAGTCTGGTCCTGAGAGGCAGCAGCCCAGGGCCCAGGATGAGCACTACATACGGGGCTTGGGGCCAGCGTCTGCTTGGGACACACACCCAGCGGATAAGGGGAGCCTGGTGACTCTGTAAGAGCTGCCTACAAATCACACACCTTTGAGTGCCAGATGCAGTGGGACACAGCTGTAATCCCAGCTACTTGGGAGGCTGAGACAGGATGACAAATTTGAGGCCAGCCTGGGCAATTTAGCAAAACCCTAACTTAAAAAGAGAAAAGGGCAGGGCATAGTGGCACATACCTCAGGAAACTGAAGCAGGAGGGTCACCTTCAGTTTGAGGCCACCTTGGGCTACCTAGTGCAAGGCCAGCCTAAACTGCAGGGTGAGACCATGCCTCAAAAACAAAAAATCCTGAAAAGGCCCAAGGATCTAGCTCACAGCTACTTATATTCAAGCCCCAATATTATAAAAATAAAAACAAAAATTACCCCTGAGTTTTATGAGATAAACCCAGTTACCAATAGCAATAGCACACACATACGGGGGGGGGGGCCTGCCCCTTAGCTCAGTTCTTTAAGTGGCTGCTTCAACAAAGCAGTCAGGCTCAGGTTGCTGTGGTTCGAACCCCACAACTCAAGCCAGCCAAAACCTGCCCTGAAGGCATTCGGGGCCAGCCAGGGGAAAAAAAAAAATCCAATAGCACACACATGAAATGGCTAAAGAATTCACAGGCTTAATACTCCCCAGCTAACAGTTCTTTACAACAGCTGGAATACCATGGCACCTTGGTTCGTGAACTTGTTCCACGACTCTGGGGAAGAGCCCCACAACGCCAAGTTCACATATGGAAACAAAACTTTGTTGAACATTTCTGTTTGCAAACAGAAGCATCTGTAAACTAAGGTATTACTGTAATGTATCAATCTCAACAAAATCTAATAAATACCACAGGATTCTAATAAGATATATTTAGCTGGGCATAATGGTGCATACCTGTAATTCCAGCACTCTGGGAGGGGAGGCAGGAGGATCAAAATTTCAAACCCAGCCTAGGCAACTGGTAGGTGAGTTAGTAAGACCTTGTTCTAAAATTTAAAAACTGAGAAAGGGCTAGGGATGTACATCAGTGCAAAGGTCTTAGTTCAATCTCTAGTAACACCAACACACACATACACACTCAAACACTCAAAGAACTTGTTTTCAATAATGATCCTATGGGGCTGGGGAGATGGCTCAGTGGAATAAGCGCTTCCCTGGCAAGTGCAAGGGCCTGAGTTCAATCCTCGGTTCTGAAAAAAAAAAAAACAACAACCCAATAATGACCCTAAATAAGACTTAGCTGAGATCATTTAGTAGGTACTTTTTTATTTTTTTGCAGTACCACTGATTGAACACGGGACCATGCGCTTGCCAGGCAGGTGCTTATGCTGCTGAGCTATCTCCCCAGCCCTAGGTTATTTTTAGACAAAAAGATGGACTCAGAACTCCTGAAGCCTGGGGAAGACAGCCTTACCTGCACAGTGAGACTGCCGTCTAGAGTCTCCTAGGGCTATACACGAGATCACCTGCCACAGGTGTAATGAGACCATAGGGAAGGAAGGTTTCAGCTGTACTTACAGGAGAATATCACAGATCCTGTGGCCCTTTTGTCCCATAGAATCCAGATACTTAAGACACTTTTTTCTTAGGTCCATCACCTATAATAGGAAAATACAACATCCAGAAACATCTTAGACATTAACAGTAGTAACAATTGTACTTCCAAAGAAAAGCACAATTTAAACCACCCAATGTGAATGGATTTTGACACATTTTAGTTTTAAGAAAAGTTACAGAAATCCAGTTGATGAGTTTACTATATTTCTACTCCTAGATGAAGTCTAGAAACTTCTTTACCAAAACATCAGTAGTCCTCCCAGTGTGGTGAGAGATTTTAGCTTTCTCTTTTACCTTCATTTTTCTGTAACAAACTCGTACCATCTTATAAACAAACTAAAATTTTTTTAAAAACCCAAACACCCACTCCTGCTATAAACAAATGTTCCTCAAGCAGAGACCTGTCCAGCTTCCTGAGTCACCCTGCTTTGAGAACTGAGAGGTCTGCAGAGCACACTGTCAGCCCAGCCTGGTGTCGCGAGCCCCATGCCAAGCCTCTCCACTCACCACAAGGCTCCAATGCACCTTCCGATGAATGGGCACCAGAATAAGTTCCTGTTCAAAGAGATTTATCCCTTTGGTCCATCTTTTCACTGCTTGGTAGCCCCCAGACTTTAACTTAGGATAGAAGAAAGTACTGAATGCATGAAGTGCTGGGTAGCCTTGCTTTTTATTTCTTTCCACTAGAAGACTCATGTAAAAATTAATGACCTGTAAGATACCAAGAAAGTAAAGGTTGGAATGTGGAGAAAACATCATCAAACTGAATTTTCTCTGCGTTAGTATGAAGCAGGAAGTGAGATGCATATGGATGGGCAGGAGCTAAAAGTGGGAATGAAAGGACCAGATGTGGAAGAAGTAAAAAAAAGTCAGGGCTGGTGAGTCAGCTCAGTAGCGGAGCGCTGCCTGGCAAGCGTGAGGTCCTGAGTTTGATTCCTGGTACAAAACAAAACAAAAACAACTAATCAGAATGGGGGAAGAGTATGAAGGAGGGGGGCAGGGGATGGCGTGGCGCACGTGGGAGGCATGGGCCCTGCACTCAAAAGCCTGCGCTGCAACCAGGAAAAATGAAAAAGGAAAAGTACTCAGGGGCAATCAGGCGATGGTCTGTGCAAATGCACCACACACAAGACAGAAGGAAGATCAACTGCAAGGGACTCACTACATAGAAATTATCCCTCAATTTAAAAATATTAACGGGAAGGAGAGGTACACCAAAATATCCATGGTACTTTTAATAGTAATATACTATTCTTGCATTTTCCAAATTTCCTGTAATAAGCATGTTACATTTACAATGTGAAATGAAATAATACTCCAGTTTTAAAACAATGGGCTTCCATGTAACTTGCTCTGGGGGAGGGGCAAGAAAGGCAAAGGGACCAGCTGGAAAGCAGCAGGGGAGGGGCAGCAGCTTTTGCTAAAAACGTGAGTGGAGGTAACAAACAGGCCCCTTGCTTACCACGGTTTGACACGCACTTGCTAGCATGTAACAGCCTGGGGAGGACAGGTGCTGGGGCCTCAGGAAAGTGGTTCAACCTCAAGCACCACCTCAGGGGTGGAGGGATAGGCCCAGCTGCCCTTGCTCTGCAGGTCCTCCCAGGGCAGTGACAGGCTCCCAGGGTAGTGAACAATGAACTTCTGTGCAGAAATCACCTGCCCATCTGTGATGTTTTGTGATAGTAGCAGGAACAGACCAAGACATCATTCAAACAAAATACCTTCCATTTATCAGGAACACCCAGGGTTCATAACAAAGTCACTGAAGACTAATAAATAAAATGATAGATAAATATAGATACAAAAGAGGGAAATTGGGGCTGGGGAGATAGCTCAGTAGAATAAGCACTTGCCTGGCAAGCTCAAGGTCCTGAGCTCAATCCCCACTACTGGGGGGGAAAAAAAAAGAGGGAAATATTGCAGCAAATAGGACCTTTTTAAGGTTTAGGATATTCTTGTTTTAACTGTCCCGGCTCTAGGATCAGAGCTGTTGAGCAGCAAGACATGAGTTATGGCCCCATCATGAACATGGGACATCATTTTGGTTGTAGACAATAAACAGCTAAACATAAAGCTAGGCATGGGGGTGGGGCGGGAAGGGGAGGGACAGGGACGATGACGACACGGGACATGAGCCAGCTCACCTCATCATTAAGCCAGTGATAGTTCTTTAAGGTCTGGATGTCTCCTCGAGTAATTCGCAACTTGAAAGCACTGCTCAGGATCTCATCCTGCGGCCCGTGGCCGAGGGCACTGCTGATTTCCTTTTCCATGTCCTGGATAAGAAAGGCCAGAGGCTGCTACTTTAACACAGAACCGCTATCAGATACTCAAAGTCCGAGACTCGAGAAAGCCTTTCATGTCAACAACATCGGGACCTGGAGAAAATTACTTTCCTAGGCCCTCCATCTTGCATAAAAATGTCCAAACTTAACAAAGCAAGCCTAGCAACGGCTACCCTCCACTGAATGCTTGGCTTCCTTACTCTAAAGAAGTGTGCGGATAAATGCATATCTAAGCTACAAAACTGAATCTATAAACTCAATCAAAATTCTTGTCCAAATATATACACAAGTGCTTCTCTTCACTGCAGACAGCTGCTATTTTGTGACTTCCACCTCTGTGCCCAACATATAATGCTCAACAGATACATACCACACAGGACTAGTCAACCACAGGCGGAACCGAGGTGCAGAACTCTACGTGCATTTCCTTGTGTTCTACAAGCCTTATTACTTTCAAACACAATAATCAATGGATGCGATGTTTTGGAACGCTGGATTTATTCATTTAAAAACCTTGCAGTGTACTCACTCTTGGCACCATACTAGGTAACATGTTTGAAATGCAGAAAAAGAATCTCTGGAGGACCCCTTCTATCTCTTCTCATAGGTGTCTCCACAGACCACGATGATCAAGCTAGCCAAGCAAGCCAATCCCGAGGCTGATCTTTATTTTCGTAACTTAGGCCCTCTCTGGAGAAACTCCTCAAAACAATACCCTCAAGTTTAGAGTAAGAAGCTATTGAAAAACACGCCTCTTACTCTAACCAACATAGGAACATACCTCGGTAAGTTCAAGGAGATCATCTGGTCTTCTGTCCCTCTCTTTGCTTGAGAAATTCTTTTCCTTCGCCTCAAGTATTGACATTTTCCTCCGGAGAAAGCCATTGCTTCCACTGCCCAGGCGGAGTCGGGCCGACACTTCTTCTGACAGGTCAGGCTCCAGCTGGTGGCCCCTTCTCTGAGCAAAAAGTTTCTATATTCTATTGCTATGTTTGATACTTGCCACACTACATATATTACACATGAACTGTAAGACTGTCATAATCTTACAAGGAATGACAATTATAGTCAATCCCCCAAATAAGTAAGCAGATTGATCATATCTGCATGTCCTAGGCAAGGAAAAATAAAAAACCCCTATGAATTAGGGCTCATGGGACACCTTAAGTACAAAGCATGACAGAAGCCGTGTGTGTGAACACACACCTATTAATTCCAGCATTCAGGAGGCTGAGGCAGGATCACAGCAAATTCAAGGCCAGTCTGAGCTGTCTGGTGAGTTTATAGCTACCTTGAACTACACAGTTGAGGCCCTGCCTCTGAAAACAAACCGTGAGGGCTGGGGAGAAGGTTCAGCAGCATAAGTGCCTGCCTGGCAGGCGCAAGGTCCTAAGTTTGATACTTGGTACAAACAAACAAACAAATACCCCATGAAACTGACACTCACCACTTTCTTTGGAGGTGCCAAGAAAAGGATTTTCAGTTCTTCTGTCCCACTTAAAGTTAATGTGATTAAAATACATTTTGAAAAGTTGAGAACAGCAAAAATAAGACCTATAATCCTGTCACTGAGAATGCACTAGTGCAAACACACTCTTTTTCGTCGTTTTAATCAGACCTGTGGAACAACAGCTCCACAGAAGTCCAAGGACTGGGTCTGGGGCTCTTATAGACTAGTGAGCAGTGGACTTGCTCAGGGGAGGCTGCTGTTAGAAGACGCGGATGCCCTAGGCCATGCCCTCCACCGGGACCTCTGTGTCTCCCTTCCACCTGGCTGCATACCCTTCATAATAAATGGGTAAAGATGGCAAAAAGACACACACACCCAAGACATCACTGTACCATGCACTTTTTGGAAAATGAACACCGTGTGGCTATTTGGGTCAATGAAAAGAATTTTGCACATCCCAGGAACTCTGCTAAGTCTCTTCCCCAGCAGAGCCTCCCCTGTTACTACTGTAACTGTTAATACTGGATTTAAGTTGTCTACCAGGCAAACTATTTGGAAATTAAGAAATTCGGGGCTGGGCTGTAGCTCTGGTAGAAGGTATTGTGAAATCCTAGGCTGAACCTAGCACTGACAGATACAGATGGAAAATATAAAATTGAGACATATTTAGAAATAAGGACTGAAGACTTGAATCACACTAGTTTGAAGGTGGCACATTGGCACCCTTCATTCTAGCTAGCTGCAGGTGTCTATCCTAGGCTCAGCATAGACCAAGCAGGATGCAGTCCCCAGTTAGGTTTTAAAAAGGCCTCTACCCCGTCTGTTCTCTCAGGTGCGGTTCCCTTCTCTTTTTAATTTTTTTTTTTTTTTTGAGAGAGATTTTCCAGGCTGGCCTATAATTCCTGAGCTCAGGTCATTCCCGTTTCAGCTTCCTGTGGTGCTAGGAAAACAGGCGCATCATTTTAGTTTGGGCTCTCCAAATGCTCAGTGATAATAATAATTAACTCCACTCTGAAGCAATGGAAATGGGAATATTAGAGAAAGAGAAGTTTTAAAACTTACAACTCCAGATATGTCTTAGCTGTTCGAAGGTTCTTTTTTTGCTATATCCGTACTGGGGATTTAACTGAGTACTAGGCAAGTACTCAACACTGAGCTATTTGTCCAGCCCATGCCTAAGACCGGGTCTTGCCAATTAATGCCCAGGCTGGCCTTGAACTTTCTTAAAGACTAACTCTTTAGAAGTACAACCACAAAGTACAAACTTACCCACACTTAAAGCAGACCCTACACTTCTGTAGTTCTATACATCAAAAATGTGAACAATCTAAGAATTTAAGTAGCAATTAAGGTAGAAACATACTTCTGCTAGACAGTAAATGCTTACTGAAACACCTTGCCGTTGTTGAGACTGTCGGGACCGATGATATCACTGGGACACTTATTTTGCTACTTAATGTAAAAGCCAACGAAACAGTAGATGGCTAATGTTTTCAAGTAAGTATCAAAGCCAAAAAGTTAAACTCTGGAAACGAAGTCCTGAACATATCATATCTTTCCTAGAGATGACTTTAAAACAATTTTCCAAAAGAGTCACACAACATACACGAATGTTGTTATGGTATCAGACTGGTCTTCATAAACAGGGTGGCTATTGGAGATGTAAACCTTCAACACAGAAGGAAAACAAAATGTGCGCACTTTGAAATTTGCTGCTCTTGCAAAGAAAACAATGGAATTAAAAACATCACAGCAACACACTTTGCGTGTTCTTATTTTTCATGCACAACCAAACAGAAGTCTGCCAAGACAGGAGGTACAAAATCTATCTAGTTCTACTTACACTTTCGTTCTCAGGTCTCAGTCCAATCATCTTCTCTGTATCAGAAATTTTCCCCTTTGAACACCTGAGGGAAGATATTAAGACTTCTGCTACAGAATTTTACACTTGACCTTAGCCAAAAGGCAGAGAAGCGATTGCTAGACAATTTTAATTTGATACATGTTTGATTAGTCTTAGAAATAAAATTAACTTGTACACAAAAAGGCCTTGAATTAATATGGTCCTTAGAACTAGTGGTCAGCACACCCTTCTGAAAGGAAGACGCCAGTAAACACTCCAGTGATGGTCACCCCTCGTCTCTCCACCACTGCAATTTAACACGTTCTGGCCGGCTTGAACCACGGGTGGTCCAAATGGATCTAATCACGTTTACTAGCCTCTTTATTAATAAAATTAAATCAGAGCCACTTGGCAGCGAGACATGCATTTTGGGCTATCATGAACTTGTGAAAGGCAGTCACAGACACTGTGCAATCAGAGTGCAACTGTGTTCCAACAGACAGGTGTGCCAGACCAGCCGCTGGGCCATAGCCAACAAACTGCTCTAAACCACCGTGCAAAGTCCTACAGCATGCAGGGGCTACATTATAGACACTGATCACAGGACCTCACAGAAATCATCTACGCACTTCTCCGAGCCGTGACCCTTAGGAGACGAGAGTCAGCTGCCCAAGCGAGGGCTGGCACCCCAGGCCAGACCTACTGAGCTCGACACAACCAGGGCTGATGAGCGTTCCCAATTCCTCAGGCCTAGCTACTCACAAGTGTAACTTAAAAAGTGAGAAACTAGATGCATACTAAATAAAGACTTTAGAGGACCTCAATCACATACCTTTTGTCACTTCTCACTGGATAGAGAGGTCCCCTTGTTTCAAAAGCTCTATCTGTGAGGATGGAAAAGAAAAAAACTATTTACCAATCAATTGTGAGCTACAATCTCAATTTACGGTCAATAAATGTCAAAGTGTGACATTTATTTACACCAAAATGCTGGAGTGAACTCCAAATTTTAACCTTCTTACCAACCTTAAAATGCATAAATCTCTTTTTCCATTAAATATAATCTTTAAGGGGCTGGGGAGATGGCTCAGTGGAATAAGCGCTTCCTTGGCAAGCACAAGGGCCTGAGTTCAATCCCCAGTTCCGAAAAA